AAACCTAAGAAGCAGCTTCTTCCACTGGCGTTTGCGGCGGTATCCTGGGGCTTCTTCCTCTGTTCATACCAGGTGCACGAGAAGAACGTCTTGCTTCCGCTTCTGCCGATGACACTGCTCCTCAGCGGAAAGGATGGCTTGCTACCTTCCACCCGCGCGTGGGTTGGTCTCGCGAACATGCTCGGCGTTTGGACAATGTTTCCGCTACTCAAAAGAGACGAGCTACGGGTTCCGTACTTTGTCATATCCCTCTTGTGGGCCTATCTTCTCGGTCTCCCCCCAGTTTCTTTCTCTGCCTACCACGAAGGCAGCCGGGGCGGACTGAATATATTCAGCAAAATCCTCCACCTCAACATATACCTGGCCATGATTGGATGGCACGTTGCGGAGGCCTTTTACCCTCCCTCAGCCGACAAACCGGACCTCTGGGTTGTCGCGAATGCGATTGTTGGGACGGGTGGCTTTGGTATTTGCTACCTGTGGTGCTTGTGGCGACTTGTTGTCAAGAGTGAGTTGTTTGGAGCAGAAAAGAGCAAGACGCAGTAAAAGATTGGTGGATGTTCGTTGGTGCGCTTCAGCACTTCTTCAAGATACCCAGGTAGATCATGGAGGGAAGATTTTGGTTCCTCATGTATAGTATTGTACATCGAATCTAAAAACGCGCATCGTGCGCAACGCCACCCATATGCTCGTGTTGTACATGTCGTATACATTTCCGTCCCCCTTTGCACTATATCTTGAAGCCGTATCCAGCCATGCACTTCTTGTAGTCGTCGACGAGGGTGAAGCACTCTTTCTGGGGGTCGTTCGATGTCGAGAAGAGCATGCATTCGTCGCGTTTAGCCTTTTGGTCTGTGCAGACGCAGCATGCTATTCAGGAGTCAGTACTAGAACAGTAGGTACCAAGAAGTTGGGTAGAAACTCACGCTTAACTTTGGCTGGCGCGGCGGTGTCCTTGAGGTCTGAGCCCATGTTGGCAGCGGTCGGCGGTGCTAGAACGCCATCAATTAGCTACTCTGCGTCGCATACATGCCATCGTCAAACCGCAAGCATACCTGACGACATTGTGAGTGTGGGTGTGTGGTGGAGGTGAATTGAAGATGCTTAGCAATCGCAAAAGTTCCCAGGACATGTCATCGGACTCCCGCGGCGCTCCATACGCCACACGAGGGCTTGCACGGTTCGGCTAAAACCAACCCTGCAGGCGACAGGGGGTTCTAGACAATGAATCTCAATCAACCCCACTACGTTTTGCGCCCCACGACTCACACTATAAAGTATAAACAACAAACCCGCCCCCCTGTTGTGCTGCTTTCCGCTACTATATCCTCACTGTAACCTGCAACGGGGCGTGCGAAGACATGGCTGGCGCAAAGATCTTTTCTATCGAGGGCAAGGGCCTCAAACTCACCACCGCCGAGGATATTGAGCCGCACATCCAGGACCTCAAGAGCAACGACGATGTAGAGGAGATCAAGTTCTTGGGCAACACTCTGGGTATCGGAGCCAGCGAGGCGCTTGCCAAGGTCTTGGAGAGCAAGAAGAACCTCCAGGTATGTTTACAGGCCCGCTCATCGGCGCTGCGATGTCAAAGACGGACTGACTGACCCAAATCCCAGGTCGCAAACCTCGCCGACATCTTCACCTCGCGTCTCCTCTCTGAGATCCCGCCCGCGCTATCCCACCTCCTCACCTCCCTCCTCACGCTACCAAACCTCCACACCGTCGACCTCTCGGACAACGCGTTCGGCCTCAACACGGTTGCCCCGCTCGTAGACTTCCTGTCGCAACACACCCCACTCCGCTACCTATACCTCAACAACAACGGCCTGGGACCCGCCGCCGGTGTCCTCGTCGCAGATGCGCTCACCGCACTCGCCGCCAAGAAGGCCGCGGCGCGCGCAGACGGCAAAGAAGTCCCCGACCTCGAACTTGTAATCTGCGGTCGCAACCGCCTGGAGAACGGCAGCATGGGCGCCTGGGCAAAAGCCTACGCCGCCAACACGGGCGTCAAGACCATCAAGATGACGCAGAACGGTATTCGTCAGGAGGGTATCTCGCACCTCATCACCAACGGCCTAGCCCACCTTTCCAAACTAGATACCCTTGACCTGCAAGACAACACCTTCACAGCCATGGGCGCAAAGGCTCTCAGCAGCGCCGTCGGCAACTGGACTGAGCTCCGCGAACTCGGCGTAGGCGACTGTCTGCTCAGCGGCCGGGGCGGCGTCGCTCTCGCTGCTGCACTGGAAAAGGGCAATAACAAGAAGGTTGAGGTCCTACGCCTCCAGTTCAACGACATCAACGCCAAGGGTCTCGCTGGCCTCGCTTCCGCGTCCCACACCGCACTCCCTGCGCTGCGTCGCGTCGAGATCAACGGCAACAAGTTCGACGAGGAGGACCCCAGTATCGAGAAACTGCGCGATGTCCTCGATGCGCGGAAAGAAGAAAGTGGTGAGAATGCGGACGACGAAGAATACTGGGGTCTAGATGAACTTGATGAGTTGGATGACGACGACGAAGACGAAGAGGAGAGTGATGCGGAGGAGAAGCGTGGGGATGCTGATGATGACGAGGAGGGTGTTGAGGTCGAGGAGAAGGCTGCGAGGCAGGTCGCGGCGGATAACGAGGCTGAGGAGAGTAATGTGGGCCAGGAGAAGGATAAGAAGGTTGATGATTTGGCGGATATGATGGCGAAGACGGAGATCAAGTGAAGGGATAAAGAGTACATTGGAGGGGACCTTGTCATGCATTTAGCGGCTTGGGATGAGGATGGCTTTTTGAGTAGGCATGTAGGAATTGATACCATAGACCTTACTTCTGTTAACTGCACACGAGGTGGTCAAGTGTTGGGACATGATGTTCGATGGAGGTGTTAATTTAGAATGTAGTGCGATATTGCTCTGTACAAAGATTGAGAGGGTAAAGTGTGGTTCATTAGGGTGTCCAGCAGACAGGTCGTCTATGTATAGGTTCGTGACTTTCATGCCACCTGCCCATGTTCAGTTATAGTGAATCTCGAATATCACCTGCACCTCTACCATCTTAGATACCTCCCCGACATTCTTGGACACTCCTATCATGTCACCCCCATGCCTCACTGCTTCATCGATCGTCCGCGTCATAGCTTGGCTCAGCCAGCAACTTTCCGTTCTCGTCCACTCGGCCATGACCGTCCTGCACGAGCCTCTTCACGTGCATGTCTTGTTAGTTATTCTCAAGCTCCTCATCAACCTTGTTAAGGTCCTTGTCGGGCTGTGAATGCTCTTTGCGGTGCTTAGTCGCGGAGGAGTTGGACACGTCGCTGAGAGACTCTTGTCTACGGGAAACGAAGGACTGCGCAGTGGGGCTGAGTCCGCTTTTCTCGGTGTGGCTGTTGGTCGGCATCTCTTGCGGCTGGACTGTTTTGGGGTTCAGTTGAGTAGAGAAGCCGTTCTCTCCCTTGGGCGAGACAGCAGAATTACCGTCTTGTAGGTCGCCGTGATGTTTGGAGCCAGACAGTGTGTCACGGGAGTTGATGCTCTCGCTACTGGCGCGGGGACGTTCATCGCTGGCGCGAGCACTTCCGTTGCTGGCGTGCGATTCACAGAGCCCCAAGCATACATGTTCCTCAGTGCCGCGGTTGGCACGAGCATCGAGAGTCTGTGGATCATCCATCCCCGATGCGGCGGCAAAGCCCGCCTCGATCTTAGGCCTCATAGTCATCTCCGCATTATGGGAGTCATCTTCCTTCTCTTGACGAGACCGTTGCTGAGGTGATGTGAAGTTCCTACTGTTGGCACGAGATCTTCCGTTGACAGGACTCAAGATAGATCCAGTGCTGCTGCTCAGTGATAGTTGACGCTCACGTCTGGCTGCAACAGACTGAGCGACAGCGGCGATGCCACCCTTCTCGGTATGACCGTGGGCGCGGGCCTCGAGCGAATGGAGATGATCGGCTTCAGCCTTGGTGACGGTGCCTTGCGCAATCTTGGGTTCGATCTTAGCGATTTCCTCCTGGAGCTCGGCTTCGACTTCAGGATGAGGAGCATTGGTATGGCCGACGGCCTTTTGCAGTTCTATAGATCGTCAGTGTTTGTCTTGATGTGGAGCGAAGGATCAAGCGGGATGGCATGTGGAAGTAGGTACGTACTGCTAACGATGCTCTGGGCAACACGAAGAACCTCGGTGGTCGCCTCGTCAGGGCTGCCATCTACAGCGATATGCAGGTCCTTGGCGGCCATCAGCAGGGAACGATGAGAAGCCTGAGCTTGACTGGATCCCTTCTAATCCACACCTTGTTAGCAATAGCTAGGGATTCGACGGCAGAGATAATGCGGACCGCTCTGTCGTCACGTGTAGCGACGTTCTCAGATAGAATACGGGCTTCCTCGGCTGTGATGGTGCTCGGGTCTTTTCGCAGCTTCTTGAGGATGGCTTCCAATTGGTCTTGGAATCGCTGCGAAAGGGTGGTAGCATCGCTGCTCGCGTCAGAGGACACCTTCTCGCTGAGAATGTCGCTCATGGTGACTGATAGAGGTAGGGCTGTAGGTGATGCTTGAGTAGAAGAAGCGGTGGCTTGAAGCTGTGGAGAAGAAGGTGAGGTGGTTGTTTGTGTTTGCGTGCTTTATCTGTGACGATGACGTCGCGGGATCGCGTGTGGAAGGAAAGTGCAGGTGCAAACAACGAGATCGGACGACTCTGACAGCGGCTCTTTCCCGATGGGGACGAAGGCATCAATGTGTCCATGATGTGTTGCGGAGCAATTCTCCGCGTCGTAACTGCCTCTTTCGAACATGCATTCGATACACTCTGCGACAACGCGGGTAAACCGTAACATCACGTTAGATACGTAGAGTAAGATTGAAATGGAAGAGGCTAAGCACATAAGGGTAGGAGAAATATAAACTTCAACTCCAGTAATCAATTGAGCGTGAAATCCGACTGAACATATTGTTACATGTTAATAATGATGGAAAAGTCTTGCAAAGACACGCAGGCCTCAAAAACATGTAAAAACATCAATAGGCATCCAAATCGTTCTCCAATTCTGTCAACTCTTCCCGTTTCCGGTCAGCTGTTTCCTCACTGTCGTCCGAGTCGCTTGCTAGATCCCCGTGAAGAGCTTTCACACCATGCTCTTTGACGTACTCATCAAACTCATCATCTTGTCTTGCAAATCCAATCTCTGCCGCCAACTCATCTTCGGCGGAAAGGGGGGCCATCGCCAAACCACCTTGATCGGGGTCGCGTTCAAGACCATGGCCGTAGGGTTCGTCATCGCCGTCTTCTTCTGAATCGTAGTCCTCGTCGCTACCGTCAGGCGAAACTGATTTTTCGTCTTCGCTGAAGTCATGTCCTTCGGTAGGTACCGGTGCTGGAGCAATTTTGCTGGGTTGCTGCACTTCGTTGCCGCCATTCTCCTTGATATCTTTGGATGTCGCATCTTTCTGCTGCAATGCAACATCGTCATTCGGTTCATCGCGAGCTGAGGCTGGTTCTGTAGCTCCAATACTCTCTAGCTCCGCTGTCGATGTTGTTGGGTCCGTAGTACCGACTTTCTTGGCTTTCTTCACGCCATTAGATGGCTCGCTCGATACGTCGGGCTCTTCGGAAGCTGCGCGCTTCAAGGCTGAAGTTTCAGTCATGGTGGTCAATTAGAATTGTGAGATGATGAGGGGAGTTCAAAGTTCGAAGGGTCGACGTTGGAGGTTAATAGGGGCTGGGATCAACATGATGACGGAAGAGGCCCTTCGCAGCCCTCCATGGATCGGGAGTGATATCCCAGCTGTGGCGCAGATGAGCTAACCTACCCGGTAGACACGACTTATCGAATCGTCAAGTTAGGAGTTGGTACCGTAAATCGAGCTTGGGAATAAAGAGATTGAGTCGAGAGTCCTGGGGGTCAGACGAGATCTCTCGACGTATTCGAAGCTGTGTTCATATCTTTAGTCCATACAAATCAGTGCCCGCCGTGCTGAGGAGCAATACGAGGGCTTGTAAATAACCCATGCTCTACTCAACCGGGGGTGTCGCGCGAGAGCGTTGAAGTCACGGGAAACTTGTTACGACGTGGTGACAATGGAATGCCCGCAGATGACTGCAAGCGACACTTTCCGTTGCTATAGCCGTTGGTAAAAGATGGTGGTTTCCTTACCTCGCACTGCGCGATGACGCGGCCACTGCCGAAAAGCCGAACAGCAGGGATGTCTCCTCACTAGCCCCACCGAAATCCAGCTGTCAAGCCTCACCTACCCACCACCCTCTGCCTGATTCAATGTCCTGCGCCACATATATGTCTACGGAGCCAGAATGGTCAGCGCCCAAGATGTTGCGGCTCGCCAGTCGCACATGGGGACAGACGATCAAGAGCAAGCGCAAGCCGCGCAGATGATCCAGCGCAACTATCGCGGCTATCGGGAGCGCAGGCAGCTTCAAGGCATGGGCCTCGATGCTAGCGCACGGTGGGCAGAGGTGGGAGACGTTCGCACTACATAGAGAGGTGTGGCTAATGGTACCAGGCGATACGCGACGGTTAGCAGTCCACCACCCTCTCTACTGCGCCCAAGCTAAACCTCTCAAGCGAAATGGCGCAATGCAACGAAGCCCAAGCCGCGCTCGGAAGACGCGGCTCTGCGCGACAACCTCACTACCCCCGAAGCACGTGAACGAGCGAACTCCATAGCAGCGCGCGAGAAGTGGAAACGAGTCGGCGAGATTGCGCGACGAGCGGGCGCTGACGATCCCCACGATGCCTCAGAGACGGACGACGAGGATGCGCCCGGGAACCACACGGAACAACGACGGAAGCAGAATGAGTCCAAAGCCGAGCGCGAGAAGACTGCCAAGATGATGGACCTCCAGTACTTCCTGGAGATGGTGGACCAGAAGCATCGCTACGGCAGTAATCTGAGAGCCTACCACGAGCAGTGGAAGAAGGCGGATACCCACGAGAACTTCTTCTACTGGCTCGACCATGGCGAGGGTAGGCACTTTGAGCATCCGACCGTCTCTAGAGAGAGGCTCGACACAGAGCGGGTGCGCTACCTGTCGCGGGAGGAGCGTCAGAACTACCTAGTCACCATCGACGACGAAGGTCGTCTATGTTGGGCGAAGAACGGAGAGCGCCTAAACACGACCACGGATTACAAAGATAGTGTCAACGGTATTGTACCGGTCGACGATGACACTCCTGCCTACGGTCCCAAAGCGAAGCTGCACTCTGGACAAAGCAAGACCCTGCGACGAAGTTCAATGATCTCGGTGAGCTCAAGCTCGTCCATATCCGAGAGCGATGCGGAGGCGGAGGAGGCAGAACACTACGTCAATGAGGACCTCGACAAAGCTAAGGGCGTTTCGAAACTCAAACATGTGTCAGCCGCGACTATTCTGAACCACCTTCTCCGTAGTTCAGTGAAGCCAAACTCATGGATATTCGTAAGATGCGCACACTCCTCCGTCAGCCAGGTGTACTAAGCAAGCACAGGTAGCCGACACATCCTTCCGCCTGTACGTCGGGATCAAGCAATCGGGTGCTTTCCAGCACAGCTCGTTCCTCCACGGTGCGCGCATATCTGCCGCAGGTCTGATCAGAGTCAAGGATGGTCAGCTTCGGCGCCTCTCACCCCTGTCCGGCCACTACCGACCGCCGACGAAGAACTTCCGTGCGTTCGTACATTCCATGAAGGAGAACGGAGTAGACATGTCGCGTGTCTCCATCTCCCGGTCGTATGCTGTCCTCGTCGGCCTTGAAGCTTACGTTAAGACACGCAAGAAGTTCAAGCATGGGGTTGAGCACGTCAAGGAGGCAGAGACAAAGGTCGTGCACCCGGAAGAATACGAGCGGAAGGTGGAAGAGCAAAAGGATAAAAGCGAAAGCGCGCAACGAGAACGGCAGTTACTTGCGGAGGAAGCAGAGAGGAAAGAGGCAGAGAAGAAACAGACTAGTCTTGGACGGCGAATATGGAAGAGGCTCAGTCGAGACCGCGGTGAGAACGGCGACCTGACACCCAAAGAACGGGAAGCCGCTAAGCAGAAGAGGAAGAAGTGGTTGAGCAAGTCGGGGGAAGATGTCGAAGATGGGATTGCGCCTGACGGACGTCGGGAGTCTGCCCCCGCGGTGTGAGCGGCTGGCTGCGATGCGAGCTACGAAGCGGGCTGCTGCTGTTCCTGCATGACCCCATACTCACCTCCATGCCTTCTACCTGTGGCTTGATTTCGCGCGGTCATGATATCCTCTCTTGTCGATTTGCCTAGAACCATCAGTAGACCTGAAGTCGTAGAACGAATAGCATTCCTAAAGATAGCATGCATGGCATTATTCGCGCGTGTCATTGCACGATCATCGCGCGATCAACGTCCGTCTATCGAAAACGTAGAATCCAGGAACCAGAAAGCAGGTAATGGCTTGACTCGGTGGCGGACAATTATTTTCCAAGCGTGCGGACCCCGTTCCGTGCCGCCATCATTCTTACGAACGGCGGCGACTGACATCATACGCGTCGTCACGGACCCAGATTTCCCATGTTTGTTTTGGGGGTTGGGAAATGTGTCTTTCTTTGACAACCTGTTATTTGGGCATGACTCGGCAGCGGGCAGGATAGGGGTACCTGAGATGAAGTGATCGATCGTGCGTCTGCGCAGAATTGCTTGTGCAGTTGTGGCGCGAGGATAATTATGGGTACGACGGACAAGTCTCGATCGAGACGGCCTGTCGTGATCGAAACCACGTTGCGCATACATACTGTAGACAGCTAACAGCTGCAAGTCAGGGTCAATGAATTGCCCGGAGGTAAGTACCACGGGAATATAACGATTGGGTTTGCTGCAGCCTCTTAGCGGTGCGTGGTGTCACTCGCAGTTGGGATGCGGCCAACGTCCCGACCGTTGCGCTGGAGCCCCGCCGTTCATCGCGGCACAGTCCAACTTCACCATGACCACGGCGCAGGCCTCCTCGGACATGAAGCTATTCGGCATCACTCTTCCGAATTCCGTCGTTCCTGATCTCCGCCCGCCGCAGGGTCCCTCATCTCCCATGCCGTCTTGCAGGTCGCGGTGATGGCTGGTGGTGCTCACGATGGTGGTACCGAAGACTGGTAGCATGCAGCGATCGGCCGCCAAAAGGAAGCTACGACCCCGCTAAGCGACGTTTGAGCAGGGGAGCTCCCGACACCATGACGTCAGGCGCCCGACAACATCATACGCGTCGCTGCAACCTGCTTGCACACACGGCACGACTTGCTCTTCCATCCTGCTGCATGCGCCCTAATGATAGGAGGGAAACACGCCCGCCAGGGATTCTGTACCCGATGCTCGACAAGGCCAGCCACAGTGCCGTCGATCGGGCCTGGGCTCTGTGTGCTTTTGCTCCACCAGCTCGTTTCGCACTGCACTCTTGCCTGCGAAGGCGTATCGACCGCCCGGTATTGGCCTGCCTGAGATGACACATGTCTCCCCAACCTCACTTCCTGCATGCCATTGGTATCCTTCCTGCAAACTAACCTCGTCCAGTGCGAAGAGTACCGTAGGCAGCCTTTTCGCTAGAGTGTTTCAGCTCCACTTCCGGCTGCAATTCAACTCCAACCCTGGCAGCAGCCCGCTCTCCGCGGTTCATCGACGATGTTAGGCCATCCCATTTCCAGCCACAGGCCGTTCCCACCCCTGTTGCAGCAGCTACCCGCTTGTCTCACCACGCTGAGTGGAGGCCATGCCACCAGGATGCGCTGACGCCCCGCTCGAGGCTGGAGCTTGTGAGTAGTGTGACGCAATACTCCTCCTGTTCGTTGCACACACTATGGCGCCAAAGCAGGTTTACTCTGCCTCTCCACAACTGAGGCGCAAGCTCTTGCTCCTGGAAACCAGCATTCGACGTCATCCGTTCCAGCATGCTCAATTGAGGAGTAGTTATCATAAATGCCTGCTTCTCTGTGATCCTTCCGCACTTTCTGATCCCTACAAAGACGAACCATTCGTCAATTGATATATGACAGACGAACACTTTTCCTCCCACAACTACTCGTACTACTCTTTCCCCCCAACCCCTAATAGACATTCCCCCCGGTCTACACGCTCTCAGTCTATATCAAGCAACGTATCAGGAAGCGGCCATCATCGAGCTACTTCCTACAGCACCTCATCCTACACAGTGAATCACGGACACGACAACTCCTACAACGTCTCGAGCGTTCTATTCAACAACATGCCTTCCCCAGCAGCTGGAAAGGGTGACACCCCCCGCACCCCTACCAAGCTCGGACGAAAGCCACAATCATCTGCCCCCAAGCTGAACAAGCCCAAGTCGGAGGACGCCCCCACCCCCGATGTGCCTGAGCAAGCTGAGGACGTGAAGAAGCAAGGAGAGGAGAAGGCCGAGGACACCAAGAACCAGGCACAAGACACCGCCGAAGACACCAAGCAAAAGGGCGAGGAGACTGCCCAAGATGCTAAGGGCAAGGCGGAAGAGGCTGCTGAAGACACCACCGGCAAGGTTTCACAAGCTGGTGACGAACTAGAGCAGGCCGACCCCAAGCCCATTGACGACGACAACGACGCCGACGAGGAGGCTGAGGAGACAGGCGACGACGCCACACACAAGGCAGGAGACGATGCGGAAGACACCGCAGAGGACACTGCCGACAACACAGAGGAC